CAAATTATCACACCACCTTTTTTATAAAAGAACCATGCAGAAATTCGGGTTATATAGGACATCAATTTGTAATGGACGTATTAGTTAGACATCATACACACTGTCATGAGTTATTTCGCATAGAGAAACATGTATTCTTTCAACTTTGTCAAGAGCTCAAATGAAGGAATCTATTAAGAGATAGTCGTGAAATTTCTGTTGAGGAGTAAATAGCCATATTCTTTGTGACAATTATCTATAATGCTAGCAACTGAATGCTACAAGAACGATTTCAACATTCTAGTGAGATGATTAGTAGGCATTTTAACATAGTTCTAAAAGCTCCAGTAACCTTTTCAATGTCAATGATTGTGCCTACTTCTTTTGATGATATCCTTATTTACATACGCAACAATCCTAAGTATTGGCCTCATTTTAGGGTAATTTTTATACTTATTTTACAATTGATTATATTACTATATTTTATTGTGTATTTTATTATTATTTAATGGTTAACTTCATAATAAATGTTTTCTAGGGTTGCATTAGTGTAATCGATGGAACACATGTTCATGCAATGATTCCAATGGATCAACAACTTGCTTATCGTGGACGTAAAGGATATTGAATATAAAATGTGATGGTTGTTTGCTCATTTGATATGAAATTCACATTTGTTTGGGCTAGATGGGAAGGATCAGCTCATGATTCTCGTATACTTATGTGACGTTTCTGATTTTTCCCATTTTTCATTTTTTTGGAATTTTTGAATTTTCAAGAGCATTTTCGTCTTTTCTCGTTTTATGTGCCGGATACCGTGGGGTGTGCCGATTGTGTCCGAGAGTTGGTTGGGGCATTTTATTGAGTTCAGGACTCCTTGGAATGCAATGGCTGTCATTTTTGTATTTTTCAGTTTTTCAGGCCAAATGGTCCCATATGAGACCCGCTACCAAAACCGTTGCGTATGGAGTGTTTTTTGGGTCCATTTGCATCATAATCATTTATTTAATGTATTATACGTGGTTGAGAATTATTATGTGTAGATATATATATATATATATATATATATATATATATATATATATATAAAATTGTGGTTTAAAAAAAAGAAAGAATAAAAAGAAAATTTTTATTAAAAATGGTGGGACCCACCACTTTACATATAAGTGGTAAGGAGGCCACATTTTGGCCTCACTTTATCTCTCTCTCCCGTAAGTCTCTCTTTCTCCTCCTCTTTCTAGATTTTTCTTTTTTCTTTTGGTTCCAAATCTTCAAACCTTGATTTCTTCTTCATCTTTTGGAGTTTTTAAGTGCCGTTTGCGGCAAATTAAAGAGCGCATCGAGATCTTCAATTTGATTAGAGCAGAAGTGGTTTTGGTGCACCCTAGGAATTTCGAATTCTAGGGCTTGGATTGGATAATTTGGGGTTTTTTGCAATTCTTGAGGTAGGGGTCTTTAATTCATGTTTTCTTGTGCCTTTGTGAGTTAATTCCTTGTTAATTGTTACTAGCATGTTTAATTGGTGTTGATTAACCCTAAAATGATTTAATTAAGGTGTACAAAGTCCATGATTATGTGTATATGTTGATTGGTGTGAAAAACATGTTCAAGTGTTGATTTTATACGCCTACTATGTTCGATTTTGATTGTATAAAATCATGTTGCAGTTTCCTTGGAATTTCTTGTAAAACATGCTGTAATATTTAAGTTTGAATTAGTTGTAGAATGATGAATATCGATATAGCATGATGCATTAATGCATAAGCATTGGGAAGGGAATGGGAATGATGTGATTTGATATGAAAAAGGGGATTTGAAAAAAGATTTTGACAAAGTGATTTTGTGAAAACCCGGTCACCGAGGAGTTATTGAGGGACAGGTTATGTTAACGGTTTGAAAAATGGAGAATGGAAGTGATTTTTCTAAAAATGGGGAGCAACATTCATGGCATTGCATTTCATGGCACGAGTTTATTTTATTATGACTTGAGCTTGTTGTATTTTTTCCCGGCATAGTATGATCCCATTTCCTATTGTTCTATTCATTATTTGGATTTACGGGGTTACAAGAGGTGTGTCTTAGACACCACCTACTAAGCAATTTTGTTCACCCCTTATTTAATATTTTTCAGGGCTCGGAAAGGAAGTAATAGATGCAGACCCTTCACAAGGCTAAGGAGGATTAGAAATCCATTTTTGTTACCTTTTGTGCATTTGGATCCATTCTTTTTTAAAAGTCTCAAACCTTAGTAAATTGTATTCATTTTTTGCAAACCTTGGTTATGTATTGTAACTACAACACTTAGTACCATTTTGATGGAAAGTTGAGACTATGTAATTATTTCATGATGGATGGGAAATGAAGTTATATTTTGACCAGATATAGAAGCCATTTAATTGTATAATGTCATGCTCTATTGCCGTGAATTCAGAATTTGATTTCATAACAGGTCTAGTATAGTTTGACTCTCAGCTAGCACAGTTGGAGACCATTTTAGAGAGTTCAGGGGTGTGAAGCCTTGTTTCGGCCGGCTGAATTTCACTATCAGCCGACCGAAACCCCAGGTTCGGCCGACTGAACCCTCTTCACTAGCCGACCGACAGGTCATATTTGCAAAGTCCCGAGAGCATGTTAATTTGAAAACCGTTTCAGCCAGCCGACCATATAGGTCAGTCGACCGAAACTGCCCCGTCAGCTGGCCAACCAAAGGCTATTAGCCAGCTGACCCTTCCCTTTTGACCTGTACATTTAACTACCTTGCAAAACTATGTTCTTGGAGCATTTTGGACCTTGGACTAACTCATGTGTCACGTATTGACGTAGGAAATGACAGTGTTGTCCTTAGTTGACCTCAGGTTCGGTTAAGGACTCAGTTAATGGTTCGGACCCACGGGTTCGGGTCGTTACAAATTAATGAAGCTATCAGTAGGCCAGATTTGAATTTCCAAAACCTCCAAGTGGTTCGTGTTAATTTTTTTCATCATATTTTTATTTTATTGTATAACTTAATTTTTGTGATATATATATCGTAGGTAAATACTATGTTGTTGATGCTAGATATGCTAACATGTTGGGATATTTGGCATCATATAAAGGAGTACGTTATCATCTAAAAGAATTTCAAAGAAATCGTCAACAAAGAGGAATTCAATAACTATTTAATTATCCTCATTCATCACTTAGAAATGTTATTGAACGTTGTTTTGGAGTTTGGAAGGCTCAATGGACAATTCTAAAATGTATGACTTCTTTTCCATTCCTAACATAAAGATTGATTATAATTGCATCAATGGCACTGCGCAATTATATCCAAGAAGAAGCAATAGCTGATGTCGAATTTCAATGATATGATGGCGATGAAGGTTATGTTTGTGACAATGATGATATGTACATGCGTGCCACTCCATTAGAATCTAGTGTAACGGAGGACCAACAATAAGAAATGAGCATAAAACGTGATGGAATTGCTAATTCAGTATGGCAATCAACTAGATAAATCGTTTCTTAGTCTATTTATGTCTTTGGATTGTTGTTAAAGTTTTTATTTATTTATTTTGGACAATTATTGTTTATTTGAAATTAGTATTTAAAATCTTGGGCATGTTTACATTATATGTCATTTGGAATTTATTATCCTTTTAAAATAATAATTAACATATTTATCATTTACTTTTTAGTGGTAGAAGTTTTTTACCTAATTGTTCATTAATGTTACAATTTTATTTTATTTTTGATTACAAAACTGTTGTTAATATGATTCAGTATTGTGTCAAATGTAATAATGTAGGTAAATATTATAAGGGTATTTATATAAATTTGCAGTTATTTAATAGCCGAAGAACTTTATAACCAAACACATTATTATGTGAGTAAAATGACTTTTGGGGATAAAAGGACTTTTCAAAAGTAAGGCACCCAAACGTCTTTTTTATTTCTAAATTCCTTCCTACTAAGTGATTCTTGTAAACCAATTATAATAAAAGGACTTTTCACCTTAGGAAGCCTTCCAAACAGGGCCTTAGGATGTTAATTCATTTTTTTTTTTTTTTTTTTAGCTTCTTATCACAAATTTCTTATTCCCTTACTTTTCCAAAATATTACAAGTATTGGCATTGTAAAAATGAGAGTAATATTCTTTCACTTTTGTAATAGTAGTACATGTAATAATTTGTTTTTGTTTTTGTTTTATGTTTTCTGTTGTTTTTTTTTTTTTTGAATGGGGTGTGTTTTTTTTTATATATAAATCAAATAAGTATAAAAAATGGAGGCGGCCTCCTTATTTATACATTAGGTGATAACCACAACTAACAAATCAGTCAAGCTAAGGTTGAGAAAGCAAAGCAAATCCGAAACGATAACCTTCACAATATAAAAAGTTTGGTCTCTAAACTAGTCACTTTGTTTGACCCACGTCTCTGGTCCGGAGTGAACAGAGCATTCCAGTGTCCAAATCTTCCATATGGTAAAAGAATAAATGGAGCACAAAATAATGGACTTCACGGTTTTGATTCTGGTGTTGGCTATGAATCACTCCACAATATTATGTAAAGAAAGGAAAGAAGGTAATTCCATCTGCCTTAGGTCAAATAAAAAAAGTGAGGATATAAAAAAAAAATGTAATAACAAACCAAAAAAACAAAAAATTAAACATGTCAAGTTTGTGATCGATTACAAACTGTGAAAGAACAATCGTCACCACTAATCAAATTATTAGGGGAGTCAAAATTTGAATGTATTAGATGAAATTATTATTATTATTATTATTTTGAATAAAATTAAAAAAACTAATAATCACATCAAGATAAAAGCCATTAGAGAAGGGGAAAAGTCATGAGATCTCTAATTTGATGGGTAAAAGTCATGAGATATTTTCTAAGTGGAATTGTCACTATAGAGAATATATTCAATGTGTCCCTCATTTATAGTGAAAACAATTTAATACATGAATTTTGCCCTAGATGCGATTGAAGGCTCCAATAATGGACCCTCACTAGTCACAACTACCATATTATTCACACATAGGCATTGTACCATGCCACCTCTATGCTGTCACGAGGTTTGTTAGTTTGTCCCCTCTTTCTGGGCGTGACATCGGAAAAATACCAAATTGGACCTACCAGATCCTCCCATACATTGAATGTGTACAAAACCCTCCTCTGGCGTGTGCTTGTCCTATGTAACCACCCGCACATACATGCAAATAAAAATCTCTCCGGTTTTTCTTCACCCCTTCATGGCTGTATTGTTGTCATTCGTAAGCTTCGACCCTAGATTGTTGGCTTAATTTCAGGGAAGTCTCGTATGCTTATTTGGGCACTTAGCCAAGTAAGTTTTCAATCCAGACATGTTGCAATGCTTCTCTGTTGATGTACCCATTTGTTTATTTATTTTTTCTTATTTTTTTTTCTTTAATCCTTTGATTCATTATTAGGTATTTTACTTTTTATTTATTTATTTAATTTAATTTAATTTTTTATGTGTTGGTGGTGCTTTTGTATTTGGCTTTCTCTGTTTGAAGTTGCTTTTGGCGGTGTACTCCTCTATCACACACTCTCTCTATGTGCATTTATTACTGTGTATCTGCATATAGTGTTGATTATATAATGTTTTAGTCTTTTAGATAGCTTTGGAAGGACATGGAGATGCTTTAGGAGGTTTTGAAACGTGTTTGGTTATTTCTGTGGTGTTGAGTCCTAGAACTACAGACAAATGGCTTCCATGGAGCAAAAACTGCTGTTGGACTGGCGTTATAAGGAGATTAGGTTATTGGGTCTGATCTAAATTCAGGAAAGTACCTTTTACAGAGTGAGATTTATTGTTGGATTAGGGTTTTTGAGGGAAATGGATTGATGGGTTTGATATAAATTGTTCTTTCTAACAAACAATGGAAGGCAATTTATCATCTGGAAATATGATTATTGGTGGTGGTTCTTATGGGGGTATTGATTTGCAAGGCTCAATACGAAACAATCCACAGCGACACCCACTTACCGTCCATCAACAACATCATTCTCTTCCTAGACAAGGGTCGATGGTTCATCCTTCGATTCATGAGGGTTTCGCCCTCAGAATAGGAAGCATGCATGACAGTGATCACAACATTTCTTTGGCAGATTACCCCAAGGGAGAAAGGGGGAAAACTTCTGCAAGTGATGAGGATGAACCGAGCTTTACGGAAGATATGATTGATAGTCAGAATGATGCGAATAGAGGGAAGAAGGGGTCACCATGGCAGCGTGTGAAGTGGACTGATACAATGGTGAAACTTCTGATCACTGCTGTCTCTTACATAGCTGAGGATGCTGCTGCTGAGTACGAGAATAGGCCACGAAGGAAATATGCTAATTTACATAAAAAGGGTAAATGGAAATCAGTCTCGAAGGTCATGGCTGAAAGGGGTCATTATGTTTCGCCTCAGCAATGTGAGGATAAATTCAATGACCTCAACAAAAGGTACAAAAGACTTAATGAAATCCTTGGGAGAGGCACTTCATGTGAGGTTGTTGAGAGACCAGAACTTTTGGACATGTTGGGTCACGTATCAGAGAAAGGTAAGGAGGAGGTCAGGAAAATTCTCAGCTCAAAGCAATTGTTCTATGAAGAGATGTGTTCTTACCATAATGGGAATCGGTTACATTTGCCCCCTGATCCTGAATTGCAGCGTTCCATGCGGTTGGCTCTTAGAAGTAGAGACGATAGTGAAGACACTGATGTGGGGAGGCATCCACAAGATGATTTCGACGAGGATGATCAAGATGCAGAAACTGATGATCGTGATGAATTTGAGCAGAATCATGCTTTATGTGGGGATCTCAGGGGAACATATGGGTTGCCTGGGAGCTCAGGAAAAAAATTGAAACTATGGAAGGGTCATGAAGAATTTAGCTTTATGAATTCCTTGAATTCTCTGGACTATAACAAAAATTTCAATTCTTACCCACAAACTGCTCATGCTGACATTATTCAAGTATTACCTGAAGCCGTGAAAGCAAACCTCTTACAAAAGCAAAGGATGGAATGTCACTCAGTCCAGTTAGAAGAACAGAAGCTACAAGTTCAGGCACAGATGTTGGAATTGGAGAAAGAGCGGTTTAAGTGGCAGAGAATTTGCAGGAAAAGAGACCGGGAGTTGGAAATGATGAGGATGGAAAATGAGAGAATGAAACTTGAGAATGAGCGTATGGCATTGGAGTTGAAGCAAAAGGAGATAGGTGCTGACCGTAACTAAATGGCTAGTCTTATCAAAATTAGTTTTACTAGCGAGGAGTTGGCGTGTAACAAGTTTCTTTTGTGTTGGTAAGCTGCCATTGATCTTCTCTTTTGTATGACAGTTTGGTTGAGAAACCTTGATGGAAGTCATGTTCCACATACGCTGTATCAACAGGACAAACTTCAGTTTTCTCTGGTTTTCCTATAATGAAATGGTTTTGCAATTTTAAGTCTAGAATTTTGTGGCCTGAAACTGTCTGCTTTTCTTTTGCACCCTTATTTATTGGGGTTCCAAAGTTGTAACTTTTGAACATCTATTTTTGACTTGTCATCCTCAAGGAAACGATCTGTACGCCCATTCGGGTTCTTGTTTTCACTTTTCACTCCATTATGGTTAAGAGGCTGCATGTTCTGTTAACATTGAATTTGGCATACTTGAGGTTCTATTTACAAATTGAAATATCCATGTTTATTTTTACTTTTCCGCCAACACTCCATATCACTTGATTCAGATTATGCTTGCAAGTAGAATTTTAAAATTTAAAATGCTTGAGTGGATTTGCCTCATTTTTCCCAATATCATGCAACAATGGGTTTTTTGGCTGCTGTATTTTGTGCGTGCTAACTTGCAATTCAGTATTCCTTTTTGCTTTTTCTTTGCTGGATTGTGTATTTGATGGGCAGCCTCTTGAAATTATTCAAAGAAATAGTGTGCAACAAATAATCTCTGAGTGGAATCTCTATATAACAGAGGAGCTTCATCCTGCTTGCACGCTTTACAGTCCTTAAAATCCTTAACCTGGTAGTGTGTGTTGGGGGGGGGGGGGGGGGGGGGGTGTGTGGTTTGGGGGTTGTTTAGAACCACTCTAGGTGAACATGGTGTTAATAGGATATTTCTAATGTTCTCATATTCTTTTTTGGTTGACAGATAGGCGTCCATTGTACTGCCCTAATTTGATTATAGAAAGAAACCTAATATTCAACTAGTTTTCTGCTTCATGTGGGCTTTAGAGACTGTTGTTTAAATATTAAATGTTGTCTAGTTTATACTGCATTATGTTAGGATCAAATTGCTGAATACATATCATACTAACTTGTTAACTTTGTAAGATATTTCGAAAACCGAAAATTGCAATTTATTTTTTTGGCAGAATTAGTATTTTTAAATTCAACTCTTATCTCCGTTTGTGTTACTTCCTATCTATGTTCAAAGTTATTTTTGAACCTGCATTATGTTAGGATCAAATTGCTGAATACATATCATACTAACTTGTTAACTTCGTAAGATATTTTGAAAACCAAAAATTGCAATTTATTTGGCAGCATTCGTATGTTTAAATTCCACTCTTATTTCCATTTGTGTTACTTCCTTTCTATGTTCGACGTCTCTAACTTCAACTGATGCAAAGAAAATAAAAAAAGGGGGGAAAACCATAAGTATTTCAGGGTCTCAATCTTTGAGCAAGATATAAATGCTAATAGGCTGATTTTGAATTATGATGATGTTTTTGATGTGTTAGAATAACAAGGGGCATAAGTACAGTATGTATCAGCTGTTTTGCCTCCATAATGACTGAAATTCGAAGCTCCGTGGGCTCCCTAGACAAGGTTAAATACTTATCCAAAGGGAGGGAATACAAAAAGGTTACTCATGGTTGATTGGTTTCTAATCAGCTACTTAACATGAGGTGCAAATCCTCAACACATGTTAAAAATGTCTTCGCCACCTGAGCAATTAAATTTTTTACTGCCCTAATTCCCAAATATAGGATTGATACCACCACCCCTCCCCCACCAAACCGCGCCGCCCGCCGCCACCCCCCCCCCCCCCCCCGCCCGCGGCGCGTCTTTCACGTCTTTGGAAATTGTTAGATTGGAGCCTGAAATACTTTTGACCATGCTTTATCAGTTGTCACTGATATTCCTTGGTTGATCAGCTTTTGGGAAGTTATGGCTGATGAGAACCTAGCAAATTAGAAACTTTTGAGGTACTCTCTTAGCTTGTTATCCATTGCAATCCATCTAGTCCTTCATTTCAGAGATGGTATCCTTTACCACAATTGATTTCCTGGTTCTTTACTAGATTAGGTTGGCTTCAAGGTTTGTACTGATGGATGCTCTGAAGGCAACTTACTGATTATAGGAGCTTGGGGCATAATTTGAACCAAGGACGGTAGATGGTTGAGAGGTTATCCCGCTCCTTTGGGATTCTGCTTCAACAGTGGGGCTGAGCTTGAAGGCACATGAAAAGTTTCCTCTAGCATAAGGTTGATGCAGGGGAGTTAATATGGTTTTAACCAATGTTGAGATTCATTGAAAATGTTAGAGTGACATGATTGAATTCCTCTAACATACTGATTTAAGATTTTCGTGCTTCATTGAACCCCAAATTTCTGGAAAGGGATGATAAACACTGCTACTTTTTTGGCGAACTCAATAGTCAATGGGCATAGCTTTTGTAATTGTAGAAGACTTGAGGGAGGAACTGACATCCTTGTTGCCTTCAGAATTTTTTGGTAGTGCAGTCTGCCATGGCATTTCTTCCTGCTGCTTGAAACTTTTGTATCATAAAACAATAAGAGAAAAAAATTCTGAATATAAGTTTAAAATCTGTTCTCAAGTTCAATATAACATATGTTTCAAAACTAAGATGCTGTAATTAAAATGGGGAGTTGGTAAGGTCCCTAATACTTTGGTAACCACCCTTCTGCGTGGCTGTTGTGGTCATTTTCTTTCAGTCAGATGCTTTGCCTTGGCCATGAATTTCAGGAAAATTTTGGTTAAGCTTAGTGGTTGAGCAAACTGAGAGAAATCAACTCACTGAATTCCAATTATACGTAAATAAGTGAAAAGTTATTCTCAGGAATGCTTAACTAGTCTACCGCAATCTAAAGCTTTCCTCAGTGTGGAGAGGTGATGAGTGTTAATCATGTCGATTGGGGAAAAAGTGTCTGCATGCAAATAAGGTAGTTTGGGGACTTGTTCCTTTAGTAAAACAAAGCTCTTTGGGATTAATGGCTCTGGAGAACTGGAGAGTTGATAGTTTATGGAGGAGAGCTCTGGTGGTAGGGAGGTCCAATAGAAGCTGTCAAGGTTTTATGGTGTGGTCTACTGGAAATTTTAGTTCAGTTTAGCTTCTATCAGGTGATGTCTTGTTCCTCAAGCATCTAAATGGAATGGAAGCAGGTTGAGAGTTTGAAGGATGTCTGGTTGTAGGATTTCTGCAACTCGAAGCATTTTTAGATCTTGATCAGACACCTGTGAAATCATCATTGTCAATTATTACTTGTTGAGCTTTGTGTAAGATGTGGTCTTCCGTAAGAGTGAAGAGACCTATAGGTGAAGTCCTCGTTAATCTATTGGCATATCCCCTAATGATTGCTGAGGTGGCATTTTTGTTGGGACAACGACCTACACAAGATTTTAATGTGACCTATTTATCTCCAGAAGTTGCTTGACCCAGTCAGGTGTGTCTGTATACCTTTTCATTTTCCGTTTTGTTGGTTCAATTTGATTTTTGGGTGTAGCACATATGCAGTATTGAATTCTTTATTGTGCCCAAACAGTTAGCTACCCATGAGAGCTTGTATTCCAAGGCTGAGTCTCAAGTTTCTTATTACTTTTGTAACCAGATTCTCGGTGCTATTTAGTTGAAATGAAAGGATTCAGAGATCTTTCCAGGCATTCAATATTTCTTGTGGAGTACAAGGTTAGTGATGTATTGTGCTCTTTTATCAACATATTTTATTGTGTCTTGATATTGGTTGTTAGAACTTGATAACTATCACCTTTTTTCCTTTAATTATAAGCTATGTTAAAGCACACTAGCCATATTGAAGTTTAGTTTATTTAATCATGTTCTGTACTCTCTAAATATCCTCTTTTTTGCGCATATGTGACTGCCTTTCTTAACGATTTAGTGAATCTTGCCCAATTGATCCTAATAAGGTTTAGTAGAGTCTGATTCTTTAGTTTTGTCTTAATTAATTATTATTTTTATTTATATTCCTTTTTAGAATTCACCGACTTAGAGGAGAGCTTCAGCTTTTACTTAGAAACCCCAGTGTCACTCTCTGATCCCAGCTGTTATATCTGTTTTCAGATTTTGATTAAACATAAAAAGCATACATTCAACCACTCAATCTGGGCAAATTTAAGAACTGAAAATCATGCGTACTATAATGAATTTGGAAATGTAGGCTTGGTTCCCTATTATCGTAAGTCGTAAAGTTGTAACAGATACGGATATTGAGGATGATGCAAAAAGCTCTTGAGGGACTAGAGAGATGATTGTGTGGGCTTATATCTGAATAAAGGTTGTCTTCAATTTCTTTGTCAAGGAGAACTTGATGAAATGACACATTATACTGTTCATCAATAAGTTTAGTGACTCCAGGCATTGTAAAGTCTTGGTTAGTTCATACATGATCAATTTGATATTAATGCTTGCACATAGTTTTTAACATATAACAGAGATGGTAGAATTGCAAACAGGCATTGTTTAAATAGGAGGCGCACTGTAGGCTTTGCACAATACATTTAGAGTTGCACATGTTGGCATAGGGAAGGAATAAAAATGTGTGTCGGATTTCCTTACTCTGAATTTGGAATACAATTAGACGCTATGAATACGGGATATGCATAGGCAAAGATACGTCAATATATACATTTATTTGTTTGTTTGTGTGTGTATGTATATATGCATATGCTGATACACTTACAAAGTTTGCAATTACATGAACATAATATGAAATGTAGCCATTTTTTTAATGAATTTAACAACTATTTAAGTTTTTAACTTATAATGTTAAAGTTCATATGAGGAATGGATGGTTATGTTGCACATATTTGGTTTGGAACCTAAGCTAACACAATTTACCTTATCATATTTCAATTCTTCTCCTTTAAAATACTGGCGGAGTATATGAAACCTTTGTTATGTTTTTACCTACATTTATAATTATGTTAGATTTGCATCCAAATATAAAAATATTTTCAAATTATTGATATGCTTAAAAAGTAATAGATACATATTATTAGTTTTAAATACTGATACTATTACTGTGACGGCCCAAGTTTAGTAAAACCCGGTGCGTCAGTGATGACCAAAAGATGACTCAATAACGGATCCGAAATGCGGAAGCGAAAGATAAACAAAGCAAAAGAAAAGAAAGGTTCTGAGGCATGGACGAGCGCTGGTCCAAAGCCAAAGCACCGAACGCTCGTTCGGCACTCATCAGCACTGAGTGCCTATTCGGCACTCATCAGCACTGAGTGCCTATTCGGCACTTATTAGCACTGAGCACCCGTTCGGCACTCGTCAACATTAAGCACCCGTTCGGCACTCATATAAGGTTGATCGTTCTGACCTACATGGTCAGGCATTTGGACCTACATGGTCAAGCGTTCGGACTTACA